TGTTAATTTTAAATAAATGGCCAAATAATTTGTCATTTTGGTTTAAAAAAATTATTTTTATATTTAAAAAATATCAAAAACAAATATAATTTTTTTTTTCGAATAACAGGTGGCAATTGCAAAAGAAGAAAAAAGAAAAAAAGAAAGCACTATTCCGGTCAACCGGCCGAACGTCCGGGAGGATGTCCCAGCAGACGACCGGGTAGTTCCAAAAATTCAAAAACAGTCCGGGCGGACAACCGTGTAGATCCAATTTCAAAATTTAAAATTCAAAAACTCTACTTGCCAAACATATTCTGAAAAGAATTTTCAAACTTCGGTGTGAAATCAATTTTTAAAAACTATATCCAAACACAGCACTGAAATAGGAAGGTAGAGTTATGATTCCATCCCGAAACCAAACACAGCCTTAAACTTCAAGCTCTAAGATTATGAGGACGATGGGACAACTAAGCTCATATTTTTTTCTAAGAGTTTGGGCTTTAGGTATCGAAGATGGCACAGCCCAAATCAACCCGTTTACTAGTTAAAGGCCATGGGCCTGTGCCCTAGAGCATTTTCACTCAAATTTTTAAATTTTGATATGTCAAATTTTTTTGAAGGTTTATATAGCAAACGGACATATCTCAATTTTTCATTTATAAAAAGAAACTGTCCACCTGATACATCAAATTTATTATTTTTTACATTAATAATTTTTAAACTTGTTTATTTTAATAATTAAAATGAATTTCTTTTATCCCATTTAAATAGTATTTTGTTGCATTAATTAATGTGCTATTCAATCAACTAAAAATTGTGTACCCCAGTTTTAAAAAATTATAAAATTAAAAAAATATTTGTAAACAATGTGCTATTTCTAAAAAATTTCTTTTATTGGTTATTAAAATAAAATAATTTGTTAAAAAAATGTTTTGCAACAGTAAAAAATATGACAAAACTTTTGCCTCATAAATTTTGTAGACATTGGACTACAATTTCAATAAAATAATAAATAAATAAATAAGAAGAAAAGGCATGGAATTGCTCTTAAATTTTAAAATCTAACAATATATCAAATCATTTTTGGAATTGAATAATCACACCATGCCATTTAGTTAAACTAAAATCGACTAACCTTGACTAACCTTGTATTGTAAAAGACATTTTTGTTTCTCGTGAGATGATTCCAACTCTTCTAATTGGTGGATTGGTGAAAGATTATTTTGAAATAAAAAATGTATTATTGAGATATACGTATTTTCGATTGGTTTTAGCTTTTTTTAAGTTGTCATATCAAATTGAGAGAGCATTTAGTATGCCTATTTTTTAATCGATTTTAGTGATTCGATTCATTCATTTTTCAAGATTTATTGAGTAAAATATTCGTACAAAAAATAAGATGATTAGATATTAGTAACTATATATTTGGGTCATTTTAGAAAAATAGACGACAAATATAATTTCAAGAATAGTCATTTATTTTTTATAGTACAAATTTGATTCAAACATATAGTTACCAATATCCAATCATCTTATTTTTTGCATGGATATTTTTCTCAATAAGTCTTAAAAAGTGAACGGTTCAGATCACCGAAATCGATCCCAAAATAGACCTACCAAACCTAAACGCTCTCTCATGTCGAGATGACCAACATGAGAAGCGCAACCCATTTCGATTCTTTTGCATTGAATTTCTAAGGATTTTTTTTTTGTGTGTGTGTTGCATATTACATTCATAATTTTTATAATTTCTCTCTTATATTAATTAAATCATTTTAATTTAAATTGCATCAATTTTAATATTAAAATTTTCACATTATGTCAATTTAGTTAATCCTTATGAACACATCAAGGGTATAAAGACTTTTGGATAAATTACACTCCTCCCTGAGATTTGGTCCAATTACATTCCACCCCTTGACATTCTGGAATTAACGTTTCCACCCCTGTAGTTAATAGTCTCATTTCACAAACCCTCCTACTTATATAAAAGGCAACAACTCGTAGTAGAAAAATAGAGAAAATTACATTGAAAAAAAAAATAGTAAAGCAAAGGAAAGGGAGAAAAAAAAAAAAAAACAGAAGAAGTAAAGCAAAGCATGAAAAGAGAGAGTGTATGAGTTCAATATCTTCATTCCGTCTAAATAATTACAATGACAGGGGAGTTAGTGTAATTTTCCAAACGTCAGGAAGTGATATGTATTAAACCCAAACCTTAAAGGGTGTAACTGTAATTTACCCAAGAATTTTTAAATACTTTATTTGCAAATTTTTATTCATAAAAACAAAATGTAATAAAAAAATTAACACTGATTCAACATGAAAAATCACTCAAGTTACTATTTCGGTTTGAGAAATAAAAATATTGTGTCACCATTTAAAGTTGTGCTTGGTTGGGAAAAAGTATGTAAAATTAAATATATTTTATTCATATTTCATCTTTTTTTTTTTCTTTTTTTTTTTTCAAATTCTTTCTCAAATTTCCCAATTACACACAACATAAAAGTTTACATAAATGGAAATAAATAATAGGAATACTAGCAAGATATGAGAAACTTTTCAAGGAGATGCTGTATCTTTTTCAAATGAATTAACATTATTTTCAAAGATCAAACATATTAATAGTAATTTTTTTTTTTCCAATTTTCACTCTCTTATTTTTAAATATTATTGTGATATTGTGACCATCAAATCACCTTTTTAAAATTATAATAAAAATTTCGACAATGCTACGTAACTCAAATTTTGTGGCTCAAAAGTGGCTCAAACGGCCAAAACGACGTCGTTTTGAATATAGAACAACATAAAAATGGCCAAAACGACGTCGTTTTGGCCATTTGAGCCACTTTTGAGCCACAAAATTTGAACTACGAGACATTTTCCTAAAAATTTCATACATTTGTGATCAATGAATGACATCCAGGATTCAAGCGTACAAGGAGCCAGGCGATGCACATGAGTAGGTTGAATTCATAGACCGTAGCACAGAGACTGTAATTATATCTCACCCATTCTTTTTCTTTCTTTTCCCTTCCAAATTACCCAAACAGTCATGCTACGTAACTGGAAAACAGCTGTCTCCGAATCCTCCTAATCTAAAAACGACGTCATTTCGACGTTTGATTTTTTTTTTTTTTCCTTCCATTTTCGTTCCTTTCTTCCATTTTCCTTCCTTCCTTCCTTCCATTTTCCTTCGACTCTGCAGAGGGAGAGAAAGAGAAGAGAGGGGAAGAGGAGAACAGGGGAAGAGGAGAACACCGATCATCGCCTGTGCCTCCGCCGCCGCCGATCGTCAGCTCGCAGCCGCCGATCGTCGCAGCAGCAGCAGCAGCTCGTCGCCTCCGCCGATCGTCAGCTCGTCGCCTCCGCCTCCCGCCTCCGGCTCCAGCCCCATTTGTTGGGCCCCCTCCAGTCCCTCCTCCTCCCCCTCCCCCTCCCCCTCCTTCTCCCTTCTGATCTGCAAAATCCCCTCCCTCCTACTTCTTCTCCCTTCTGATCTCCAAAAACAAAAAAAAAAAAAAAAAATTCAAACGTCGAAACGACGTCGTTTTAAGATTAGGGGGATTCGGGGGGCCAATCTCTCGAGCTACGTAGCATGACTCTAATAAATAATAGATAATAAATAGTAGTAGTAGTAGTATTGCTGAGTCAAAAAAACAAGCAGCCCCAGCTCAGCCCCCTGAGTGCACAAGTCTACCCAAGCATAACTGGCCACGTGTTATGCCAGGAAGAAAGGAATCCCCCCACCACCCCGATCCTCGGCCGTCCTTCTCGGCGGCCGTTCCCCTTAAAACGACGTCGTTTTGGGGGTTTTTTCGTTTTTTTTTTTTTTTTCCCTTTCAATTTATCAACATTTAACATATTTTGCTATGTTTTTAGTTCTAATTTCTCCATTTTTTTTTCTTTTGATGATATTCTAGACATTCTGGCGAGTCTCCGACATTGTTCTTTATATCCAACAAACATTCTTGACATTCTAGCGACTTCTAGTGATGTTCATATCACTCCGGTGATACTCCGGCGAACTTCCGGTTTCGGTGACTTTCCTATGATGTTTTCCAATGACTTTCCCATGATATTGAAATTCTAGCAAGTTTCCGATAACCGTTTGACAGAAGTCCAATGGTGGTGAAATGTAATAGCATCTGTAAATTTTATTTTATTTTTAAAAAATTAGGAGTTTTTGGTAACAATTAGAAATATGTAAGACTAATTGATGCAAGTGTTTTATTCTGAAACTAAATAAGTTTTAAACTTTGTGTATGAGACTTACTGGTAAGTTCCTTTTTTTTTTGACGGCGGTGGATGGTAGTGGCAGGTGGCGGGTGGTGGTGATGGTGGTGGTGGTGGCGGTGACGGGTGGGTGGTGGTGGTGAGTAGATGGCAGGTGGGTGGGGGTGGCGGGTGGTGGGTAGTGGTGGCAGGTGGGTGATGATGGCGGAAGACGGTAGTGAAAAATGGTGGCGGATGGTGACTAGTGTTGGGTGGTAACTAGTGTTGGGTGGTAAAAAAAAAAAAAAAACTGAAAACTCAAAACAGAAACACATTTTTTGAATTTATATTTTTTGACCAAATTTATAAACTGAGACCACTGATTTATAAATAAAAAAATTTACCAAATAAGTTTTTATTTAAATTTTTAAAATTTTTGTAAATATAAATAGAAAATTGAAAACGTAAGTGTTACCAAACGGCACCATATTATTTGATTTTTTTTTGTATTGGTGAGTTTTTTTTTTTTTTAGGATTTTTTTTTTTTTCTTTTTGAAGGATAAATTTCACTTTGCATCTATAATCTTTACATCTAATCTCATTTTGTTCCTTAACCTTTTAATTGTCTCAATAAACCCCCTAAACTTCGGGTCAAATTGCAATTGAGCCTATTTTTGCATAACATCGTCTCAAAAACTAACAGAGAACAATCGCATGATAGTATTAATTACACTTACTATCATGTGACTGTTCATGGGAGTAAATGTAATTTATCCAAAACAAAATCGCGGCAAATACCCAACAGATCAACAAAAACACAAGGGACACAATTACATAACTGATTTTTCAAATGTACAGATGTTTCTGATATAGGCTGTCTTCACAGCCCTTAAGGTTACAGAGACCAGTTAACCTTTTTATGTTCTGAAGAACTTTAGCAAGGTAACAATTAGAGATACACTAACCACAGAGCACTTAACATAGGATTAACAATATCAAGCATTTTAGGCAAACTCTATTAGCCAACCACTAATTAGCATTTTTTTTTATTACATCAGCCTTAATGTGCAAAGCACACAACCAGTTTCAGTAAGGGACAACAATGGATTCTATGAGCTCTTGAAGTGGAGCTAGCTCCTTCTTGTCAACCAGCCCAAATTCCTGCACAGAAACAACATGGTCAATTTTTCCAGGCTGCCAAACAGGTTCCAAGTGAAAATCAACCAGCATATAAATTGCACAATCGAGAAGGTTAACCAGTCATGCTTTGGAAAGTTAAAAAGACTGATTATATGATCAGCAACTTGTATCATTTTCCAACTAATGGCCCAAATTCTATGGAAGTGCACAATCAACTTCCACAAGATCAAATGAGACGGTTTCTAACAAAATCTCATGAAAGTGCATTGAAGGATCAATGAAAAATAACTAACTAGAACCATGTATCTGAGGCATAGAGATAAATTGCAAATGGTTAGAAATAGGATTATATCTCATTTTTTATCAGGATGTATCTTCTAATCATTACAGGTAACCTTTATTTGTCCTCAAATGGCCGATAAATAACCGCATCACTAATACCAATATCTATCTGAGTGTTTTAAAAAGCCCTAGGCACATCGAGGCGCCAAGGTCACCTGGAGCCTAAGTCCCGAGGAGCGAGGCGAGGCACGCGCCTCACCAAAACGGCGCAAGTTATAGAAGTTAAGCAAAATATTAATAAAGCACAATTTTCAATATAAACAAATATTTAATATGTATATTATTAATTTTTTAAATAAGAAGAAAAAAAATAATTAAATTTTTAATATATATATTATTTTATTTATTTATTATATTTTTTAAATAATGTGTTTTAATTAATTTTTTTATTTTATTTTATTTTATATACATGTGTTTATTTTTAAATAATTAATGTATTTTATTTTACATATTATCTATAAGTATATTATATATTATATAATAGGTATTGTATAATATTATATATATAACTCAATTATATTTTATATATTATAAGTATATTGTATATTATATTATATAATATTATATATATATATGAATTAAGAAGATAAAAGGAGAGACAGAAGAGAGAGAGAGAGAGATCGCGATCGCGAGAGAGAAGGCGAGAGAGAGCAATCGTGAAACAGAAACAAAGGAAAAGCGAGAGAGAGCGATCGTGAAGCGAGAAGAAGACAACAAAAGAAGGGAAGAGAAGAGAAGACGAAGATGAAACAGAAACGAAGCAGAAGAGAAGAAGCAGAAAGAGGCGAAGAAGCAGAGAAGAAAAGAAGAGGAGAAGAGAGCAGAACCTGTTGGAGTGGAAGAAAGCCGAGGCGCACAAGGCGCTCGCCTTGCGCTTCGTAATAAGGCGCTCGCCTCATCGCCTAGGCAGCGCTTCCCCTGTGTCGCCTCGCCTCACCATGACTGAGGCGCAAAGCTGCGCCTTGCCTCACCTTGAGCTTAGGCCCGCGTCTAAGCGCGCTTTTTAAAACACTGATCTATCTTGATACTGTTATTTAAAACCATGACAAGGACCAACAGGAACTGTTTGAACCTAGGGCAACCATGTTCGAGAGACAGATATGATCATGATTGGTATGTATGCAATCAATGAAACTTTCAATGCAAGAACCATGGTAAAAAGTGCAAATCAGTAATCTTTGTCAGCCCACAAGTTTGGATGTCATATAAAGCCTTATATGAGGCACAAATCCATCGCTAGGATAGAATCATTATAGAACAGAAATTTAAGTTGCAGAAAAATGTAACACCAAAAAAGTGAGTAAAAATCTTGATATCACAGAACAAGAGCAAAAAAGTTTTGTAGATAATAGAGAAATGACGATGCTCAGTAATGCCAATCTAAAAAAAAATGAAAACTGTAATATTTAAGCAGAAACAAAGTTCAAGCCAATGGTGTAGGAAGACGGAAAATTTAAAAAAGAATATCTTGAAAAGTGAACAAAGAACACAAAATTGTCTCAAGAGTTGAAGCACACTTACACAGGTAAACAGTATGAAATGCTTGAAGCAGGTATTTAGATGGGCCTCCTCTTTAAGGCTTACGATCTTCTGGAAGTGAGAGTGGTAAATATGAGCATAAACGCGGAATAGGCGTTTGAATATAGTTTTCACTACTTCCCTGAAGTTCAGAGGAAAAGGGGCACCTACAAAAATTAGAATAAAGAGTAAGCATAAGCTCTGAAGGGAACGTAACAAACCCCCAAATGGGCAAAATACAATTATCAACAATTTTGTTCAACATACAACCGGGCAAAATATCAGAACATAATATGAAGCACATATTACCAATCTTTTGAGGAAATATGGATTCATCATCTAATTGACCTTCAATCCAATCCATCAAATATTCAACATATTTTGGAGCTGAAACTTCAATTGGTTTCTTGATTTGTACACCATCTGCCCATCTGTACTCATACCTGCAAATCAGGAACTGGAAATTTATAGAACTGTGCAATGTTGGTAACCAAGTTGTTCAAGAAATCATGGAAAAGTAGAATAAGGTTCTCCATGCCCATGAGGTTCAAGGTTCAAGGTTCAAGGTTCAAGGCTCAATGTTGTGTTTTCTGGATAACAATCAGAAAACAAACAAACTGTCTGAAACAAGAGAACGCGACCCTTTACATTTTCACTTGTTTCATCGTTTCCATGGGATGTCATGGACTCGGACAGTTTCTGAAAAAAACATTTTTTTTAATGATTCCTAATCATGCAAAGTCCTCAAAAAATCATATTCCAGCTCATGTTTTCCCCTTCATCTTCAGATTCTTCACCAACCCTTCTACGTTCGATGAAACCTTGAAAAGGTGTGGAAATGCCTCCATTAAAGGGACCTTCACCACTATGCTGGAGCAGCTTTAGCTACAAACCGCCCTATTCTCACATTAAAGAAAACCTCTTTCATGAAACACATCATTTGTTATTGCTTTCAATAAGGCCCATGAAGTTTCTACCTAAACTAAAATTTTTCTACCACTCCTATATGAACAACTTATTTAACAAAATCATTCTTTTACAGACTATCACTGACCGAAACAAATCTATAAAAAAAAATTGCTACCCATTATACCAATCTTCTTGAGGCAAAAATATTGTTTCCCATTCAATAAAATTGGAGCTTCAAACATGCTTAATTGGTGCTTGAATTTATTCCCATCTCCACCAAAGAAAACTCTTTTTTGTAACCTTTTCAAACTTTCAGCAACCAAGATCAAGTTCTTGAAAAAAGGAATAGTGGCAAACAAAGTATTGTGCACCGAATCAGTGTTTTCTACTTAGGAAAGACCATTTTTCCTGCGAGGTCTAGAAGGTATGGTTTTGGTATCGCAAAATAAAACACTGCAACCATATGATGAAAACATAGGGACACAAATTACAGAACTTAAAATGCATGAACGGCCTCATTGATAACATAATAGTGGTAGTTGAACTTGTGTAAGACATAGAGAAGTAAATATTCAATAATTTATTTCCTTCAATCTGAATGTCCAAAACTGATTTTCTGTAAAGTTGAAATAAAGAAGATGATTACTAAGACGTACTTGGGGCCTGCAGTCATTGTAGGACAGTTTTCTGGAGTGCAGAACTCTGTGAGGGTACCATACAGCAAGTTCACCTGGTTGAAGAAGTCCACAGCTGAAAATTTAAAAATCAGTAACCTTAGTTCAGTCGGTGATCAGAGAAAACCTTATTATAGTATTTATGATTTTCTTTTTGGGGATAGGGGTTAGGAAGTAAGTCAAGTGTTGGTTATATGAAAGCTGCACCATGATGGTATGAGTCAAACACATATATGCTTGAACAATTCAACATGTGCCCCATAAGCTCTCAATGGGTTTAGAATAATATAGACTTTTAATATTGGACCAGTGGTCAACAATTCTAAGACAACCCTTAATATGTAGATATCAGGACAGCATAGATTCTGTAGAAATAAATGCAAAAAGAAACACAAAGCTGTTTATACAAAATATATCACAACACAGATCCCTAATCTTAAAAAACAAGAAAAGAATATATAAATAGTGAAGGTTTTAGTAAAGAATTGATTGTTTGGGGGAAGAGGTAAAGAATATGGTTTGTATTAATTGTATACAAACACATAAATATGTACATATCATATTGCAGACATAACATTTCAAGAATCTACAATGTGAAAACATCCATATCATACTAACCCCTGTGCATGTGACACAGATTAGTAGACAGACATTTGCAGCCTCCACATACCAACACTCCAATTCCATAGGAACAAAACTGGGGACCCTAAGGCAACCTAATTATATACAACACTGCACACACACAAGAGAGAGAGTTTATTACTGTTGACAGCCAGCCATTCATTAGCGTCCTCCCCTGGAGGAAGTCTTACTGCTTCTCTCAGATTTCCACTACCTAATGTTGCATCAATGTGCTTTCTCAGCTGTGCCCCCTGCATTAGAAAATGAAAGAAGATATCGGAATACAGAAGCCAGATGCTATGATTCACAGCAAGGATTGCTGTATATACAAGACAAAGGAAGAATGGCAGCATATATTCCTTGGTAGTCAGTAGTACTGTACCACAATTGTTTTTTATCAGTGTAAGCCAAGAGACCAGAGTTAATGACCTTAGCAAGAACTCCAAAGATGGTAACACTATTGTTGGTTGAAATGAAATGAACCAACAAAAACTTATTCATGTTTACAATTCTTTACCCAAGATTTTGGAACTCTAGTTGTAGATGCCTCTAAAAGATCCCTAGCCAACTCGGCAACTACATATTAACCATATCACCGGCTTAATAAATTGTTATTAAATTATCCTCAAGCCTGATTCTGCTCTAAAATATCTAAAAATACATAAAAATGAGATAATTCACAAAGGTGATAACAAATGAAATCACTAGCATCATGCAATAAATCGGTTAGCTTCACACAGGTTCCTTGTTCAAAGCATGTACAAAATCTAATTTGGCCTTCATGATGATATGAAGAAAACATTCTATACAAAGTTTGAAATCTATGTTATGATTTTTGTAAATGCCAATTAGACAGTCAGACCGCAAATCAGTAATATCAAGGGAAAAGGATATGTACCCCGAAAAGTACTAACAAATGAAGTGTAAGGTGTAGATTCAAACTCGGTGTGGTGTGGGCCACACCTAGAATAAATCTGGTCTACACATTTCATTCATGGGGTACTTTTTCTAGGTGCATAGCATGTTGGTGAATGAGCTTGCTTGACAAGCTAAGTCTACCTTCATGGAATTGAAGTACGAACACAATGCTTAAAAGAAATCCTTCTATGTAAAAAAACAAAACAAAGAAACAAAGACCACAATTTTTGTCATGATTTGTATAATACCAATTAAGCCAACAGATAGCAAGTAATTAAAATATCAAGAGCAGTCATTCATCTTGAAAGCAACAGAATGAATGTTCCTTAAAGCAACTGAGGGGTTGTTTGGAGTGTCCTAAATAAGTGCACTTTTTGACTTTTTGGACTAAAAAGTTAAGGAAAAAAAAGATGGTTGTTTGGGATAATTTTTTGACTTTTTACGAAAAAATGTGTATTAAAAAATTGTATAAATTAGTGTATCGGAGAAGCTTTTTTGGCAAGTAGGCAGTACGGTTAGCAGTACAGTGGCAGCATTGTGCAGAGTAGTGTATAGGAGATGCTTGCCTTCTTTTCAGACATTGAATTGGACGGAGCTATTCAGCTCGTGCGGGCCCACCATGGGTCTCGTTTTGCTAATCAGAACTGTTCAATGTGTAAAACTCGTCGAGTACTATATACTTGTAAAAAATCACATTGATCAGATATCGATAGCTTTCTGATCGAAATAGTTTTTTGTCAACTGTTAACTATAACACCATCCATTGTTTATACAAAACTGATTTGATCATGTAGTTAGCGATATTCGATCAATGTGAGTTTTTACAAGCATATAGTATTCGACGAATTCTACACATTAAACGGTTCAAATTATTAAAACGGGATCCGTCATGGGCCCCCACGGGCCGAACAACATCGTCTTGTTTGTGCACCCACCTATTCCCTTTGTCCAACCAAAGTCAGCTAAAGCACAACTCACGTGAAAAGTGAGTTGTACTTTTTTTTGTGTAAAATTAATTGTTTTTATATATTTTTTGTGAATAGTGATAACTTTTTAACTTTTTTAGTAATTTTTTGATTTTTTGGCTTTAAAGGATGCCAAACCAGCCCAAAATAAATGTAGCACAAATTCAGCATTGCGGAAAAACACAACCATAAATTGCTATTAAATCCCATCTTTTAACAGTCAACGCTATCTCAGAAAAGGGGGGCAGAAATCCATTTAAACCCAGAGTTTTGTCACCCTTAAATTTCTACAAGCCCTCAAGACCTTTTCTTTCATAGAAAAGGATCTTTAGCCACATAGTCTCACTGCATATTCAATCCAATGTTACCTGGTGACTTGATGTGTATGTGCAACAAATTTGTGGATGTGGGAAGCCACATATTTAAAAATGCAATATTCCAAGGGTAGTCTTCACGAATAGTGCTGACAAAATGTATTACAGTACTTTTTTAAAAAAAAATCTTTCAAAAGGTAAATTATTGATGAAACGTAATATTACTGATATGCACTTGTGTCCTTTGAAAGTTTTAAAAGTGGTATCAAACTGGTAAAAAACATAGAACTTGACATATAGTTGAATTAATACCATGCCAATGTGTCACCTTAAATCTTTAGCTGAAACACTTTATGTTATTAGATTTCACTGTCTGTCCATTTATTTAAGGTTTCTTAAATAAATAAAAAATTAAGGAAAGAAAGAGGAAAGACTTTCGGATTGGTAGAATTAATGTTTTTGCATTGAAATTTAACTCACTCGAAACGTACATTCCTAAAATGGAGGTTTCTGGGGGAACTAATTTCTCTGGTTAGTCTGATCTCATAAAGCTTCTTTTTCTTACACTAACTGTCTGTGGCATTCCACGACTACCTCCCCAGCAGCTCCAACCTATTATGTGAACCTACACCATTAACCTTTAACTTCAAAACTAGTTGGTGATCTTCCTCCTTGAACTTGGTATCAGATGCAACAATTTAAGATTTGACCAAGTAGCGCTCAAAATTTATCACCAATAAAACTCAGCAACATTAATAGCCAATAGTCTGTTCCTTCTCATTCTTTTAGCAATGCTTGCATAAGTCTACACTCCATTACGACTACACATCCCAACACCAATCACTACTTCATCAGTTATCCCCTTTCTTCACCTAGGAGAAGAACGTTGCATGAAAGTCTAAATGCACACTAGAACATACATGTTTCTGCTACCAACAAGAATACATTGCACACACCTCCTGTTGGTCTTATGAATTACCCAGTGCTAGTTTCCTAAAAAGCATGAACACAGACACGTGATACGACAAAGACCATGGTTTTAAAAATCGGCAACAGCCGTTATATCACACCATTACATAACAATTTCGGTGTTTACTGCTACCCGTTACGGCCGCTATAGCAATGTGACAAAAATTCATAGCCGTTAGGTCCTATTTTCTACAGATTTAGCATATAAAGCCATTTTTTACTCATTTTTCTTTTTCTAGTTGTTAAAATCACATGCGCGCGCGCGCACACAAAAAAAAAGAAAGGTAAAACTTTTGCTCTCTTCTCAAAATATGCATTCTATATCACTCCATAATAGGCAAGACGAACAACAAAAGTGATGAAACAACTTGATGGTGAAGCAAATTTTTCAATCTAAATCTATGGAACAGCAAAAGCACTGCATCTAGCGGTTTCAGTTAAAATAAACACAACGACAAAGGGGAAGTGGGGAAGTGGTTGTGGCATTTTGCAGCAGAAAGAGAGAGGTTGTGGAGGAGGGTGATGGGGGCTAATTACGGGGTGGAGAGGGGGGGTTGGTGTTCGAATAGGGTGGACCAACCTCATGGCCGAGGTTTTTGGAAGAGGATTTGGTTGGGATGGAAGGAGTTTTGGGATAGGATTTGATTTAAGGTGGGATTGGGGGATTGGGTCCGTTTTTGGAAGAACAAGTGGTGGGGTGAGGTGTCTCTAGTGAGTATGCTTCCATTGATATATGCTATTGCAACTGATGTGGAAGAGGTGGTTGCTTTGGTCAGGGCTAGTCAAGGGCAGTCTTTTGTTTGGAATGTTCATCTCTGATGTGATATGCAGGATTGGGAGATAGACCAATTGGCGGACCCTATGGGGTTTTTGTATGGGTTGAAGAATGGGGGGGGGGGATGATATGGATTCTTTGGTGTGGTATTGTCCAAGATCTAAAGGGATTTTCTCGGTGTCTTCGTTTTATGGTGCGCTAGCGGGAGGTGATGCTGTTGCGTTTCCTTAGAAGAGTATTTGGGTGACGGGATCACCGTCTAAGGTAGCTTTTTTTCGTTTAGACAGTTGTCTTGGGCCGTATCCTAACTATTGATAACTTAATTCGACAGCGGCATGTTTTGGTAAATTGGTGTTTTATGTGTTGCGGGGATGCGGACACAGTAGATCACTTGCTTATTCATTGTCTGGTTGCGTCTTGGCTTTGGAGTTTGATTGTCGCTTTGTTTAGTTTGGTTTGGCTTGGGTGCAGCCGAAATTTTTGTTAGGTGTGGTACAAAGTTGGGGTTTTTTTCGTTTAGACAGTTGTCTTGGGCCGTATCCTAACTATTGATAACTTAATTCGACAGCGGCATGTTTTGGTAAATTGGTGTTTTATGTGTTGCGGGGATGCGGACACAGTAGATCACTAGCTTATTCATTATCTGGTTGCGTCTTGGCTTTGGAGTTTGATTGTCGCTTTGTTTAGTTTGGTTTGGCTTGGGTGCAGCCGAAATTTTTGTTAGGTGTGGTACAAAGTTGGGGTGGGGCAGGGGTGGCAAAGAGGCATCGGAAGGCATGGTTACTTGCTGCCCATTGTTTGTTGTGGATGGTTTGGTTGGAGCGTAATAGGCATGTTTTTCAGGATATGAGCCACATAGTTCCTTGGTTAGAAAGTAAGTTTCTTATGGTGTTGCATAATTGGGTGACAAGTTCAATTGATTCTAATGTTTTTGCTTTTGTAGATTTTGTGGAGGGTTTGATTAATTAGTTTTGTTTGAGTCTGATGTAGGCTGATTTATTTTTTCTTCGTATTCCTTGCATCGTCTTGATACTTTTCTAATAAAGTTTGATTATTTATCCAAAAAAAGAAAAAAGAAAAAAGACAACAACAAAGGAAATAATAAATATATTACAATGTCTTGCACCCAAAAGAAGGAAAAATATCGTACCACATTAAACAAATCAAAAGAGAATGACAAAAAACACTAAAGACAAAAAAAAAAATTCAAATTGGAAAAAGAGAATGACCTTACTCCCCGAAGGTGCACTTTTTTTCGGGCGAAATGTCCTTTGGTTCCTATTTGCAAATAAAACAAATAGAGGTGTAAATAATTAATCAATATAGGTTGAGGATTAGTAAAGGGTAAACTACTAATAGGTCCTAATAGTTGAACTTAATTCTCATCAAGTCCTATTGAAAATAAATCCTAATAAAATCGTTGCTATTAATAATTTTTTGTGACGATTTCTTGCACGTCACTAAAAATTGACAATTATTGACTTTTTTTTGTCACTATTTTTATAAATTGTCTCTAAAACTTACAATTAATGACATTTTTCTGTGATGAATTTTTTAAACTGTCGTTGAAAGTTAAAAATTAGTGACTTTTTTTGTGACTTTTTAAACTGTTGCTAAAACTTATAATTAGCGATTTTTTTGGGACAAAATTTTTAAAATGTTGAAAATTAACAATTAATGACGTTTTTTAATAGTGTTTGATGAAAAACGTCATTAATTCTCATAGGACTTATCAGACAATAAGTCCACCTATTAAGACCTACACATAAGTTCCCCTTTAGTAAACTCGTCAAGGATAAATAGCAAATATAACACTGAAGGATAATTCACACTTAAGTAAAGTCAACAGACATATTTTTTGTTTATGGAAATTACCTAGAGACTTGGGCCTTGTTTGGTTTGTCTCTTGAGAGACAATTTTTGAGAAAAAATTTCAAAAATTTGTTTGGTTGAAAATTTTTGAAAACAAAAAAATCCAAAATCACTTTTTTCTCTATTACACATCAATCAATCACCTTTTCTCTCACACTCATCTATCCAACTGCAAAAAAAAATAAATTAAATCATCCCAAACTCCAAAACTGTTCTCAAAACTCCAAAACTATTTTCAAAACATATAACCAAACAAATTTTCAAATTTTGTAAACTCTTTTTAGAAAATTATTTTCCAAAATTGTTTCACAAATACAAACCAAACATGGCCCGATCTCTTAGAGTTGGATTGCTTCTTTTAGGCAGCATATGCCAGTATGTATATACTTAAGATTAAGTGTTTCATAACACCATTCAGAACAATAATAAGTGCTTTTCATAAACAAATCAACAATTTCAAGCATAGTTACAAGAGAAAGAAATTTGGCAAGGGAACATCTTCAGTCAAGACAATATTAAAACCTCCAAAAGATTTTAAATGTTAAAACTAAATGCTAAAAGTATAAAGGGAAAAAAGAGGATTTTATAATTTACATCATGGAAATTACTAGAGAATATAGTAATGTTATCTATTGTTTGATTTCTTTGTAAGTGTTCTATAACTATACGACCGCTTCACCACATATATCTTCCTTAATATTTAGCAATATACCACTCATTGAAGATGTCTTGAAGTGAATACACAGAGAGAGAGATATAAGCCCTACTACACTAACACATTCATGGTCATATTATAATTCAAAACATTACATATTTAAATCGTGATATGATATGGAGGAAAAGTAAACCCATGTTAATGACTACCAGATTACTTTATACGAGGCTGAGAACAGGAAATAACACACACAATGAGCCTCTAAGAATTCTATCACTACCTAATGGGTTATGCCTACAAAACTGGTAAACCCCAGTTTAATATTTTTTTCCCCTAAGGCAGTAGCCTAAGAAGTACGGACACTTCTAGGAAGGTGACGTATCCGTGTCGGGTACGTGTCGGACACCGACACTCTTTGGACACTCTCAGGACACGTGTCCGACACTCTTCAAAACGTGTCCTATTGTTTAAAGACTTGGACACTCTTTGGACACTTGAAGGACACACGTGTCAATCGTTTAAACACACGTGTCTAACGATTAGACATACGTAAAACTAATTATAAGTTTGAACAAAATAACTTAAGATACAATAATAAAATAAAAACCATATAAATTTATAAGAATTAGTGTCATATTGCATTTTTTATTATCTTTGAATGATATATTCATATATATATAACATATAATAAATATATAAAATTATATATTTCATGCGTGTCCTCCTCGTGTCGTGTCCTGCATTTTTTGAAAATTAACGTGTCGGCGTGTCCGTGTCGTACTCGTGTCGTGTCACGTGTCCGTGTCCATGCTTCTTAGGCAGTAGCTCATTCAAGCCGAGATAGCATTTCAAATACCAAAACCCATTTTAGCATCTTCCTTAAATCAGATATTAGAAAACACTGACTGAGAAATCATTGTTGGTTTTACTAATAGTAGAAACATATTAGGCAAGCATTTCGGTCCCTGCTTTCTAAAACCTAATTATTGTTAGATTAAAGTCCAAATCAGCAAAACATGCATAAGAATTCATCACCCAAAATGAAAAGAAAAAGAAAAGAGAAGAGAAGCAAAGAACACCATATACATAATACACATACCGTGAAAAGCAAAATTTAATAATGATTGATAAGAAACACACATTGAGAATTGAAATATGAGATGTTTCAAGCAATCAAAAGAGTTAGTACATGCATAATCTCTAAAAGTTCAATCACATAAATGATTGAATCTTGATATATACCCTGATCATTAGCTCATATATGCTCATTGAAGAGGTTGTAAAGTGAATTTACAGAGAAAAAGATATGAAGAGGCCCTACTAAACCCACACACTTGAGATCATCTACTTTTAAGTCTATGACTCAAAACATTAGAAATACTTAATTCATATCTTATAGTTAGACCACTCACAGGAGGAAAAGTAAACTTATGTCAGTGAGTGACTACCAGATTAATTGTATGAGACTCTGAATGGGAAAACAACTCATACACAAATGTTCATCCAAGAATTCCACAAGTACCAACTGCGTCAAGCCTAATCCCACTACTCACAAACCCTCATGATAGCCAAGTCAAACACTATCAACGCACGTATGATGTATGTGTCTTCCTCAATTTGTTGGAATTTGAAAAACAATAAAGAAATTATAATTGGTTTTTGCTCTGAAACACAATCATAGTGAGTGAGAATCTTAATCCCAACTGATATCTAGGACCAAATTAAGGTTAGAATTAAAGTTCAAATCAGCAAACATGGAACATTTCATCACTCAAAAATTAGATGTGATATTAATATTTATCAAAACTAATAGAGATATGAATCAAGAAAAGTGAAACGCAGAAAAATAGATCTGATATAAATGATCATAGAAAACCCATATGCACACCATGAATTGGAAAAATTAATTGAAATCCTTGGATTACCTGCCCAGACCGAAGAGACTCATGGATCTAGAGAGAGAGAGACAGAGAGGAGCGTAGAATGAAGGTCTAGCAAAAAGAGTTAAAAAAAAAAAAGGGAACTGCGTTGAATCAGAAACTTTTTGACTTCCAATCCGAAACTTCTTTTTTTTTAACGAAAATAAGTACAAAAAGGCACTCCTCTGTTTTGAAAAAATGATAAAAAATAATTTTTTAACTTTTAATTAAATTTTTGATTTTTTTTGACAAGTAATTTAAGAAGTTGGTAAAAAATTATTTTTATTTTTTTTTATTTATAATGTCAAATCACAATAAAATGACTAAATTACTCACATTTAATTTAAAATATTTATAATTTCACTTATGTAGCACATTTTGACCTATAAAAAATAGAATTGTAATTTCACCAATGACTAAAAACTAACTTCCCAAATGTCTTCAAATACAAAAAAACTAACTTTTAATTTTTATTACAAACTCAAAAAAGTAACTAAAGGCAAAGTCCCCAAAAGAGGCCATATTCAAACTAGTATATTAACTGTGCGATGCACAAAATTTTGTGATTTAAAATGATTTATTATGAAAAACATTATATATGTTTCTCCTTATTAAATTATTATACATATGATTATTTTATACATTGATTTATAAATTTGTCAATTATTCATTTCTAAGAGCAGCATAACATTACTTCTCGGATAACACTTATCAAGTCTTCACCATTCACCAATCATCATCTCTCTAGTTTTCATCTCATCTTTGTCTCTACCATTCATTCCATTGTTTGGCCATTAAAATTATGATTAATCATTAATTGATAATAAATTAGTTGAGCTAGCATAAATTCTCAAATAAACTCGAATTCGACTCGTATAAAATAATGAATAATTTTGTATGTGTTGTATATACAAATAATAATAAATAAATAAAATGAACAAAAAAAAGCTTTTTAATTTTAGGAATTTTTGTAATGCTTTCATGATTATAGTTTTTTTTTTTTTTTATCTATAAAATCGTAATGATGAAATTAGTTGATGAGCTTTATTAGATTAAAATCGTACATGTGAGAGCAACAAAGATAGCTAAATACATGTGTATACATATATATAGATAAATTTACATGGTTCAATATATAATAATTACATATTCATAACTCAATACTACTCTTCAATTTTCAACTACTTCAAACTTAGACTATTAGCATTAAGAGAGAGACTAACCTTTTTACACACATAGATTGCAGAGAGTTGAGAGAGTTGGTCGGCCTCAGGAAAGAGATTGAATATGGAGTTTGCTTACATTGAATTTTTAGGTTGTTTAAGGTTTTTAAAGATTTAGGTCTTTTATCATTTTTAGGAAGGAAATATTGGAAGAAATCAATACTTCTCGTATTAAGGCCTTGTTTGGCATGTTCTCGTTTTAGCTTAAAAGTCAAAAAATTACTGAAAAAATCAAAAAGCCTATAATCTATACCAAAAAATCAAAGATTCTTTTTTTTCTTTACTTTTTGTACATCTTTTTGTAACAAATTAAAAAATCATTCCAAATATATTAGTTTTTTTATTTCATATTTTAGCAAAAAAGTCAAAAAAAATTACTAAAATAACATTTTCTCAAACGAGGCCTAAGTGAGATATATGTTTTTGAATTCTGAAATTCAAAAGTATATATAATTAAAGTTTTTTATTTTTAATTTAATAAATGAACTAACTGATAGATCTTTTTTTTAAGCATAAATCATTTTTATTTTTTTTATATTTTTAATTGACATAATTTTTTATATTAGTGGGTGTAGCTCGACTTTTTCGCGCCCCTTTTCGGAAGTTCGAAATAAGTCCTACAGTTTGGACTCTCGCAGTTCTGAAATCGATAATCACCAAAAAGTCCAAATCTGACAAATCTTTTGAAAAATCAATTTTGAATCAAATTGCTAAAAATGAACTGCTTTGCCAGATACAGAGTCACCACCTAAATATTTTTATTTTGGAGAAATTTAGGAAACCCATGACTCGTGCCAAAGGCCGCGTGCTCTCATTACCAAGATTGTCTCTGCTCGGGAACTTAGGTACGAAGGGGAAAGGTCATGAATTGAGCATCCCCGCTCACCCGATCAAAAGATTGGCTTCTACTAAACATGATATGATTTTTATCAACATTACATGCATCTTGTTCCATTTATTAGGCTAGCATTACTATGTGATGCGCACATCCAAGGTATAGACTAATTTGCTCAAATTGGAACAATTCAATTTCATGTTTGTTTTGAAATTGGGTTTGAATTTGCCACTTAACAAAGTGGGTTTAAAGCTTGTGAATTTGCCACTTGACAAAGTAGGCTTAAACGTACATTCATTGAATCATTCCAATTCAAGTAACAAGCTTTCATCTACAGGCATTCAAACAGTTATAGCAAGTAAGCACTTAGCCTCATGGTAAGCATACTAGACATGGCAACATTCACACGCATGCGATATACTAAAGCACTAAAAAACTCACCTAGTACTTCAAGCCAAAAGAGAAATAAGTTAGAAAAATACATGATTCCTAACTATACAATTATGACTAATTCAACACATGCGATATGCAATTACTAGGCTCGGCTAATTACACGGCATATAAATTGATTTGATAACATGCGGTCTAAGCACATATTCAACAAAGTATTGAAACTAACAATACAATTAGAATGATGAACCAAGTCTTGGTGCATGCAATACACATGGATGCAAACATGAGATATTCTAAACAAAACGTGATGTCCCTAAACTAACCATCATAAGCAGTTAAATAAAAGAGAGAAAGACGTGAAATTGGAAGACATATACATTATTACATTGCGCTCTAAAGAAGGAGAGTCCGAATGAATAAACTAGCTAAACTAAACTACTTAACTAATTAAAACTAAGCTAATTAAGCTAAATATTACAAAACAAATGAATAAATAGTTAATCTAATTAACTAATTATTACAACACTTAAATTAACTAACTATTCTAGTTAACTAATTATAGAACGAAATCAAATAACAAGTTAAATCAACTAATTAGTTACAACACATATCAAAACTAATTAGCTATAACTAAGCTAAGTATAAAAAACAGGCTCAGGAGGCAAGGGATGCTCATACATGTGCTCGATTTCCACCCGAAAAGCCACTGCTTTTCTTCTAAGTGCGTCTGTTTGAACAGTTGAACACCAACACTGTTGCCCACCCTAGAAACACTCTGCTGAGTTTTGCATTAGTGGCTGGCCGGCCACTGTTGAAGGTTGCCGATCACCAGTCGGCCCTGGATGAAGGTTGCCGGCCATAAATGGTGGTCTGCCGGCCACCTGTCGACTATGGAAGTGGTCTGCCAGCCACTGCTGCACAAGTTCATCATGCTGCAACAGAGGACAAATAGAGTATATACAAAGTATTTTCACAGGTTGTTTGTACTGTGTATCCCTCCTTATCATCAAAACAAGCTTAAATGAGTGATACACTTGGTCCTCAAACCATCAATCAAGCAATTTCATTGCATGATGGCCAAAGTACCAAGGTGTACAAATTAATAAATGCGCAAACAAGACCCAAAAAACCTTCACCCTATCATGCATGATCAAGGGCAATGGTGACCTTAGAAAATTGGCACATTTCATCACTTTGAGTATGAAATGCCCCAATTTTCCTTGTGTTCAAATTTACGTCCGATTTGAACACACCAAGACACGACAAAATTCATATCTTTGCACAATTTTAGTTTCCATTTTTAGTTACTCATTTAATTACCCTTCAATTCTTTAACCAATTAAGTCCATTGGTGAGTTAAATCCTCTAAAAGAGAAGGAAGTGTCAATCAAGGGGTAGTTTAAGGCAAGAGAGAAGTGTCATGTCGTTGATAAAAAACCCTCAAAAGAGGATTAAACCATTAGGTATGGACGTCAATCTCAAGCTTAAACTATCCTAAGGTTGAAACAACCCTCAAAGCAAATGAAAAAGTCAAGAAATAATGGAGGTTGCAAAGATTAGTAATACTGAAATTAAATGAGAAAAGCACTTAAAACATGCAATTAACTCAAACAAGTGGTGTCTAAAGGCCTAAAACACCAAACTTGTGAGGACACTTACACTAGAAGCATGCAAAACAAGACTCCAATGCAACAACAAGCCAAAAATAGAGTCAAAATAGTCCAAATTAGAGCCTAAAACATGCTAGAATCAAGCTATAAAAGGCTAGAAAATTAAGCTAACACATAGAGCTATCTAGGCTAGCAAACAAGACACAAGGAGGGAAGGCTAACCCTTCCAAATTTGGACTTCAAAAGATGATTTTTACCACTAAAAATACTCTGAAATTCAGTGTTCAGAAGCCCAAAAAATGATAGTTTGAAAATGGAAAGCAAAGGTGGAAAGGCCTTACAAACAAGGAATAAAGATGGGTGAACCACCCCTTAACCTTAAATGGCCTAAAATCACCAATTTCAGCCCTCAAAAACAGAGTTTTTTATAGCCCAAAAACATCCCAAAAATAGTGGGAAAAGATAGAAAAACAAGTATGCAAAACAAGTTAAAAAGGGAAGTATTATACCTCTTGAAGCAAAAATTAACCTTAGGAAACAATTCAAGCCAAAACCACCTTCAAGAGCTCCAAGAAGGCCTTTAGAAACCTCAGCTTAAAGATAATCAACTTTGGTTAAGGAGGTGTAGGCAAAAGTGTGGTGTATGTAAACTAATGTGCACAATTTTGCAAGAGAGAGAGAGAAATGTAGAGAGAGAGAGAGAGATTTTTGTTCTAAAATTTCTAACCCTAAAATGTTTCTAACCTTGAAAAATGAGAGATAGGTCATCTATATGTAGAAAAATGTGAGCTTCAGTCGAAAATATCTATATTGAGATAGGTGGAACTTTGTGGAAATAGCTGGCGGAAAATATCTGCAAAAAAATATGTTTTTTGACACCAGTAGCTGGCAGGCTACCAGTACTGACCGGCAGGCCATCAATAGTGAACGGCAAGACACAAATGGGGAAAAAAATTCACCATTGGTTGGC